GGAAGGGGAGAGTTAGTTTCTCTGACTTCTGTTAGGGAAGAGAAAAATCTCATTTCTGTGGCCTGCTTCTGGGAAGAAATTAAGAGCCAGGAACCATGACTCAAAACCAAAGTGTATATTTGTCATAATATCACACAAATCTTTTTCACACTTTGTTTGGGGGGGTATCTTTTTGAGACGGTCTCCCTGCAGCCCCGGTTGGCCCAGAACTTGCTCTGTACACCAGGCTGGCCTCGAACTCAAAGAGATTTGCCTGCCTTGGCCTCCCAAATGCTGGGATTAAAAAGGTGTGCACCACCACGCCTGGCTTCCTCTTTCTTTTTGCTGGTCTGACTCAGAAAGAACGATCTTTCTGATAGCTGGCAAGGTTGGCAAACTTTTCAGCTGTTTCTTCTGTTGTCCTGACCTAAGTTGGCCCCAGGTTGACATAATAGAACCAAAAGATAAAGAACTTTTGATATCTGGCCCTCTTGGCAGTTTCCCTCAGAGTTCTCTGATAGACCTTTAAGTCTTCAAAATAGACACTGTTGGGTTAAGCCTTTAAGATTTGCTGTGTTTTATTACTGCAATAAAATCTAGTCTGCCTGAGAAATATAGCTGCCTTCAGGTCACTATCCTCAGAAAACCACACTAGCCTTTAAGAATGAAATTCTAAATGCCTAGTTTGTATTGATGACTGTACTATACCTGTAGCTTTGACTTAGTACCGCTCTTTTCTTCTACGTTTTTCCTGTGGGCAGCAGACTGTATACGTCTGTAATGTCTGTATTCAAGCTGTTAGCTAAGAACCTTCCGTCTTCCCAGTCAAACTTTGATAGTAGTCTTTACGAATACATGATCTCCAGCAGATCACACAAGTTCAGAGGTACGAAATGCATGAGGGAATCTTAAAAAGAGGACATTTTGCCAGGGCTAATGGGCTTAGAAGGATGATGGGATGAATAAATGAGTTTGCTGGTGAAAGGTCAGGTAGATCAGTTGGAGTCATACATGAAGAAAAGGAGAAAGAACAGATAAACAAAAAAACAGCAGAGGAGGTTTAAGAAGTCACAGATCTGTGTTGGAAGAATAAGAGTTTTCCATTTTGTTTGTTACAGAGTAAACAAAACCTTCGAACTTAATATCATGAAACATCCACCTCATTTGGTTTCATTCCTAAATCGGCTCATCTTTGTAAAAGACAAGTAGAATGCATTTGCCACATTCACATACTCATTACCTAAGGAGCATTCAGGTGTGAACTATCGCCACCTTCGTTACTGTTCTCATCTCTTACAGAGGCCAGAAGAATTCCTATAAAAGTTTAACATAACCTCATAATGTGGAATGCAGATGTTTCATTCTTATAATGTCTTTCCACTCATAAACTGAAATCCTCAAAAGCAAAACCCATCTGTTTTCATCTTCGTGTCACCACTAGTGTTCCTAGGAGAATATGGTCTATAGAATGCTAACATCAAATAGACCCAGTGTGAATCACCACTCCACTACTTAGTGGGATGTGAGACTGGGCACACTGCTTAACTGTGCTGTCTCAGAGTCATCGTTGCCGTGTCCGTCCGTCGTCCTGTCCCATCAGAGACTGGTAGGAGTGAAGGTTGCTCAATATATTAGTATTACCAGGCCAGTCTGCACCTTGTTCTCTGGCTTTGGGTGATTGTATTACTTTCATAGGTAACCTTCTCCTTGGTCTTCTTAACTTTGTAGGACTCTTGGGGGTGGGGGACTGCTGTGTGGTGCCTGGGTGTGTAGGGGTATGTGTGCCTATGAGTACACACATGGAGACCAGAGCAGGATGTTGAGTGTATTCCCCTGTCATTTCCTTCCTCATTCCCTCAACAGGGTCTCCCATTGAACCCTAAGCTCACCATTTTGGCTAGTCTGACTGACCAGCCAGTAAGCTCTTGGAATCCATGTCTTCAGCCTCCCAGTGCAGGAGTTATAGGTATATGCACCCAATACCCAGGTATTTTCATGGGTACTAGTGGTTTCAACTCAGGTCCTCTTACTCACTAAGCCAACTCCCTATCCCATTTGTAGGAATCTTGAAGTATATTTTACCCATGACACCTCAGTTCAAACTTCTGACATTTTAAAACTATTTTCAGTCTTTGCTTTTCTACCTGCTTCTCTCCTGATTTGTGATCTGTGTTGTGTTTGCTCTCTGTTGCTATGATAAAAATACTGACCAAAACCAACCCAGAGAGAAAAGGGTTTATTGTCTTAGAGGTTACAACCCATTGTCCAGGGAAGTCACAGGAACCTGGAGGTAGGAACTGAAACAAGAGACCTTGGAGAAAAGCTGCTTCCTGGCTCATTCCAGGCCTACATTCTTACATAGCCTTTCTTACTCACCTCAGGCCCACCTGTATCAGGAGTGCACGGCCCACGGTGGGCTGGGCCCTTCTGAATCAATTAGCAATCAAGACAGCGCCCCTTACACATGCCCACAGTCCATTCTGGTGGAGGTAGTTCCTCAGTTGAGGTTCCCTTGTCCAGGCGTGTCAGTTTGAACCATCACAGTCTATGACATCCATCCATCAGTATATTTGGGATGTTCTATTGTAGTCAGATACCATTGACTTTCTCCTTAACCTCTTATAATACACACATTAAATATCCAAGTGGCCTTTAAAAATGACTTTTTTATTCCTTTGTTTTTCAGATAGAGGGTCTATTGTAGTTCAGACTGGCCTCTAGCTCTATGTAGGCAAGGCTAGCCCTGCATTCCTGGTCTTCCTGCCTTCACTTCCTGAGTGCTGGTATGAGAGATGTACACCACTACACTATCTAAGAATGACTTTAGCTGGGAGTGGTGGTACGCACCTTTAGTCCTGGCAAAGGCTGGTGGACCTCTGTGAGTTCAAGGCCAGTGTGGTCTACAAAGCAAGTTCCAGACCAGCTGGGGCTACAAGGAGACCCTGTCTCAAAAAGACAATAAATTTATTTATTTACTATTTTTTTTAAAAAGAATGACTTTAAAGTCTCATTTTAACATGTAGCATTTTAATTTATTGTTTAGATATTTTCTTGTTTCCAATGTGATTTCATTGACTTATGAATGGTTGAGAGGTTCATTTTACAATTTCCCAATACTTAATAATTCCTTTTGGCTATTTTACCTTTGTAAGGTGATTATTGTGTTTTCTCAGACTTTAGTCTTAATATTTATTCAGCCTTGCCTTATTCTTAGAACTATTTTATGTATACCCTAAAGAATGCGTGTTCTATAGTTTGGGGTTATAGTCTGTATATACATGTACTGTAGGTGAAGTTTGTTAACTATGTACAAATCTTTATTGGTGGGCTTATTTTATCTGTTATAGAGAGATCTCTGCCAAAATTTTACCCCATGTGTGGCTTCTTCCTATTTCAATGTTGTCATTTTCACCCCATTTTGAAGTTTATTTTTAATTGACAAATGATCATATTTGTGCGGTACGCTATGGTGTTTTGATATGTGTATGCACTATGGAATGATCAAATCAGCCTACCCAGTATAGAAAATACTTTTTTCTTTGTGCTTAGAGCATTTAAAATCTACTCTTAGCTTTTTTGAAATCTGTAATACATTGTTAATAATTATAGTTACTGTGTTGTGTAATCTTTGACTAAAACTCATTCCTCTTGTCTAACTGAAACTTCGTTCACATAACCCGTGGTCTTCCTTTCCCGTTCCCTACCCCCAGTCTCTGCTGACCACCATTCTATACTCTGCTTGTCAGAATTTTTTGTGTTTTGTTCTTGTTATTGTTGTTGTTTAGTTCCACATTGACATTATCTCAGTCAGTGTTTTATGTCTCTGTTCCAGGTTTCTTTGCCTTGGACATTTTGAGCATGTGTGTTCTTTATCTTAGTGGTACAATCTGTCTGAATTACTAAACCCAACAGCAACAGCTTATGGTGTGATTTCTTTGTGCAGTTTCTATAGTCACAGAAACTACTCTTGAGCTAGCAGAATTCAAACTTGCCCATTTTCTCCTTTAAAATAACTTTCATATAAATTGTAGGTATGCAACAAGGAACTGTGTTTTAAAATTTAAATGTATTTAATGGTCCCAAATAGCAAATTGAAGGGATATTTTTTCCAATGATAAAAATAACCTTATCTGTTACATAGCATTATCTATGAGATAAGTGTTTTGTTTCATGGAGTGAAATGCACTGTACCATCTGCATCTTTGATAAAGGTGATCATATTAAAGAGCAATTGGTGAAGTCATTTCCTTTTTGTTTTTTTAATTACATTTCATTTGTGTATCTGTGTGTGCACACCTGTTCACATACCATGGCATATGTTGGTTCTCTCCTCACCATGTGCATTTCATAGGTTCAACTCAGATTGTAGGACCTAGCTGCAAGCAGGTTTACCCACTGATCCATCTTACTAACCCCATTTTCTTTATTTCCTCCTTATATCCCTGCACCTAGCACCAGCATTTATTAAATCATTTTGATCACTAATAAATGTTCCAGGAACCACCTACAAAATAATGCAAAGATATGTATAAATGTTCAAAATTTTTGAATCTTGAATATAACCAGTTTAAGTTGGACTGCCTGCCAGATAGTCTTCTTTAACCTCAAACATTGCTGTTTTATTCAAGTACACTATCTGTGAGTGAGTGTGTGAGGGTTAGAGTGTGTGTGTGTGTGTGTATCATTCCTCCTCTTCACAGTGGAAGCAGCTGTTATTTGGGGAGGGGGGAACAGAAGAGCCAAATGTCTCCTAACGTACAGTTAGTCATGGTAGTCTCTTTAGAAAGCTGTTGAGTGTGCTTGCCTCTGTTAAAACTGTCTGTTTTAGAGAGTGTTGTTCGGTTCTTAATATTTCAAAATTTTTTGCTAAGAATGAAGACTTAGGTTCAAAAGGATTTCTGACTTTCTGTACCTGTTTTATGTACAGTGTACATAAAAATGTGCTGTAAAAGTTGCACTATGTCAAGGACTCTCGAATAGTAAAGTTTGGCATTCAGAATAACTCAAGTTTTTCTCTTCAGCTTCCAGCTGATCTTACCAAGATGCAGCTCACAGACAGTCCTCACCCTCAGGTGGCTCATGTGTCTTCTAGTCAGTCTGGCTGCAGCATTGCCAGCGACTCTGGGAGCAGCAGTTTATCCGATATCTATCAGGTAACTCCTCATGGTGTATACTGTACACACAGACTTCCAACCTGCATGTCCTATGCTTATCTTCTAGATGATCATGTATCTTCTAGTTCCTGGGTGACATTCAAGCATAAGATTTTTGGGAAGGTATGCTTTATATTACTGGTGCAAATTTGTAAGCCTAATTAAAGAGGTGATTCTGCAAAGTCCAGCAGTGTAACTATGGTATTCACTTTCTTCTGTTCAGTTAAATCCATATAGTAGAGAACACTTACCTTGGGTAAAGAAGGGTTTTGTTGTTTTTGTTTATGAAACAGTATTGCCCTTCTAACTGAGGCTGACCTGGAAAATCTCAGTCATCTTGCCTCTGCTTCCTGAGTTGGGATTACAGGCATCATGTCTTGGTTTAGAAAAGGTTTTTTGAAATGACTTGCACTTTAAAAGGACTGATTTTTATTATGGTTATAGATGTCATCCATAAGTAAAATTTACAAATAAAGTTATAGTTGCTTTTGCGTTAAGCTTTTTTTTTGTAAAACATGAATAAAATTGAAAGCTAAGTAGTGAATAATTTATGGGCTTGTTTCTAAAAACTCAAAAGAAACAATCCAAGATTTTTTGGCAATCCTTGTAGTAGAAAGAGGCTCTGAGAGAAACTTTGCACAGAGAGAATCCTAACATAATCAGATGAGATCAAATCCTAATTTGGTTTGCCCACTATGGTTCTTTACCATGGAACTGCTTGGTGTAGGATGTCTAATGCAGCTCCCTAGATGTGGTACCTTAGGTCCTAAAGCTCAATAGTTCGTCTTCTTGGAGATGATGGGTATAGAACATAAAACACTTTTAATAAAATAACTAGAAGAAACGTGGTATTGATCGTTGGTTTATGCACAAATTCACGTATGCATTGTGTTTCAAGGCTGACTAGTAGAAATTTAATGTGATCCACATACATTTAAATTTTTCAGTAGCCACATTAATTTTAGTTTTGTACACACGCATACACACATGCACATACCTCAGTCTTTGCGAGAACAGCCAGTGCTCTTAGTCGCCGAGCCATCTTCAGCCCCATTTGGCTAAAGTGTGTGTGCGTGTGTGCATGTGTGTGTGTGTGTGTGTGTGTGTGTGTGTGTGTGTGTGTTGTGTGCATTTCTAATCAGATCCTGGAAAGTAGGCCAAAGATAAGAATAGTTAGATATTCAGTACTGAAAGTTAAATATCAATCTTTCTCTTGACCTTGGGCTACCTTTAGAGGAATAGTTGTTAAAGCTATGAAAACATCTTTAGAGATGAACATTGCTAATAACTGAGCCAGCCAACTACAGTTTAATTGTGTGGTTATTCAGGCATTTGAGGTTTCGATGATGCTACTTTTAATTTGTAAATTTGGAAGAGATAAGCTGTGCCAGCAGCAGTTGCTTATGCCGTTTTTTGTTTTAATTTTTTTAATTTTATAAGTATATGTGTATTGCCTGCATGTAGATAAGTGCACCTGTCATGCAATGCCTGCGGAGGACAGAAGAATGTATTGGATTCCCTGGAACTGGAATTACAGGCAGTTATTAGCTGCTATGTGGGTGCTGGGATTTGAACCCAGGTCTTCTGCAAGAATAGCCAGTTTTCCTAACCACTAAGCCATCTCTCCAGCCCCACTTACACCATTTTATATGGATAACCATGGCTGTACTCAGATGCACTGCCTTCTTTGGAATGTGTCTGTTGTGGTTAAAAAATGAAAGTCCCCGGGCACAAAGACACTAAAGTATTTCCCATGTCAGAGAGAACTGCAAGTGATGGTTCCGAGGTGACTGTTTATAATCAGATTAGCTTAAAATTTAGCTCAAGTTATGCATTAAGATGCTAGAATGTTCTTTAAATCTTTTATGCATCTTCAAAGAGCATTCAAGAAAATAAGGACTGCTTTTTTCTAGGTTCCTTTTTCTATCTCAGTATTGTCTTAAGAGCTGGACCGATATTAAAAAGAGAGAGAGGGAGGGAGGGGGGGAAGGAGAGAGAGAGAGAGAAGGGGGGCTGGAGAGACGGCTCAGCAGTTAAGAACACTGGTTGTTCTTGCAGAAGACCCAGGTTTGCATCCCAGGACCCACATGGCAGCTAATAACTGTCCGTAACTCTAGTTCCAGGGGTTCCAACAGCCTCTTCTGTCCTCCTCGGGCATTGCACGACACAGGTGCACTTACCTACATGTAGGCAATACATGCATACACATAAAATAATTTTTTTAAAAAGACAAAAGACAAAGTCTTTTTGTTGACTCTTTGTGTTGCCTGAGGCACAGAACCACTTACCCCCCCCCCCCATACGATTGTTTCTGTAGAAGAAGGCTCTTGAAAACCTGCACAGCACAGTCTGCTCCTCTGTCAGCTCTGATGCCTGGCCTACCAGACTTTGCTACCACATTTCCACTCATGGGTGGTATGTGTCACTTCACCTAGCCTTATCCACTAAGTGTTCTCTTCCACCCATCTTTAGCATTTCTGTTAAGAATACTATCTGGCTGGTAGGGATGCCATTCAGTGTTTAACTAAAGTGTGCAGATTTATAAGAAGACTGGCACAAAATTACCCTTATTCCAATGGAGAGCGTCCCAACCATGGGAAGGGGGCCTTGACCTGGCCTTAAAGCAGGAGAGGAGTAGAAGAGAGCCAGCAGTGCCCCATAGGCAGCATTACAGGGAGAGCCAGCAGGGCAAGCCTAGCCCGGCCTCCATACCAGCGAACGTGGAGGCAAGCACTAGGTTGGACTATAAACTTACCTGGCAGCTGTAAATGGGGAGCCACTGCATGGCCACAACACTTTATGCTTTCTTGTCAAATCTTAGCCAGAGAGAGCATGAGTGCTGTGAGTGGGGCCAATTTCTGGAAGAGAGATCCAGCTAGAGGAGTCTGTGGTGATTTAACAGTAGAGCCAGCCTAGCATGTGCAGGGCCCTATATTGATCCCCACTATCAGGAAAGTGAAAACTATCATCTGTGTCCTTGTCAAAGTCTCAAATCATCTTTTCCCCTCTATTGCCTTTGATTTAGACTCCTACTTAAATTGTAAGAATACTGTAACTTGTTCAGTCCTGTGTTTATCCTGAAGCTGCAGTGTCACCTTAATCAGATCTTGACTGCAAATTCCACTTCACTTCTCGCTGCTCTCTTCCATCTGGTTCTGCAGTCCACTATTCCTGCACTTTGGATTCTAGACTCTGCCCCATGGCAGAGCCATACAGTATTTCCTCATCATGTTTGCTTTTTCTTAGGTGTGTTTTCTCCAGCAAATAAAATGGTGTTTCCCCCCTTGGAACCCTGACTACAGTTTTTCTGTGACTTAACACCACTTTTCCAAATGAGCTTTTTAAACAGTACCTTGTATAAACTTGCCATTTTTGCATCATCAGAGTAAATTTATACAGGTCTGAGTTTATGTCTTACTGGCTCTTGTATTTTTTGCTGAGTCAAGCACTGCTTGATCCCTTAGGAAATAATGTAGAAAAATCTTTAAAAATAAATACCATTACTGGTTAGAAGGAAAATGCAAAAGATCTCTGCTAACTGAAACTTCATTTTATAAGGCAAAGGAGAGATTATGGAATGGCTTTGCATGGTCTGCTTAACTGTGAAAGATTACTTTCGTGGAATTCCTGCCTGAGCAGGACAACAAAGAGGAAGCTTAAGCACTACATGGTCCCTGAAAAAGGTTAAATGAAATCCTGAAAATCAGAATACAAATGAGAGAAGCATTCAAAGTGTGAGATTCTGGTTTAATACTTTTCTAAACTTGAAAATGTGATTTTTTTAAAAAAGTTTTTATGACACTGTAATTCCAATCTGTGTTCCTCTTATTATAGTTTCGTGCTTATCTAGCTGCAAACAGGAAAAGGATATCCTCTGATGGTTTATTTGGGGAAGATCAAGTCATCAGAAAATCACTTCAGACTGTCTGTCTCACCACAATATACTTAGGCATACACTCATAGACATGTTCATGTGACAGGAAAGGAAACCAAAAGAGGTTCAGTACTTGTCTTACTAATCCTCCAATATATCCCCTCTGCGCCCCAGTGCTTAATCTAGTTATAATCTTTTTGAGGGTCTGAAACCTGGAGCTCAGTCCTAAATATTCCATATCAATGATTATCACTCATGTTTCTGCCAACTCTTGGTATTATCTTCCCAGTCGCTGTGATTCTGTGTTAAAAAATAGTGATGTCTTTTGTCCCTCTCTTCTGTTTGAGTTTTCAAGTTTCTTTTTTTTCTTTTTTTGGTTTTTTTGAGACAGGGTCTCCCTGTAGCCCCAGCTGGCCTGGAACTCACTATGTAGACCAGGCTGGCCTTGAACTCACAGAGCTCCACCTGCCTCTGCCTCCCAAGTGCTGGGATTAAAGGCGTGCACCACCACACCTGGCCCAAGTTTCCTTTTTTTGAAGCCTTTTTACTTCTTCCCTCACTCCCACCCCTACTTTGTGAGGACAGGGCCCAGGCTTGCCAGGAACCTGGGGATTTAGCCCTTCAAATGCGAAGATTGCAGATGTGAGCCACCATACCCACTTGTTGCATCTATTTATTTTAAAGTTTATACTTCCTTAATGAAATTCTCTATTTTTGCATTACAAATGCATACTCATTAGTCGTGAAATAGAATTGCCCCTATATGACACTGTTCATAGTCCATTGGGGCTGCTGTAACAAAATGCCATAGATTGGGTAATTTATAAACAGTAGAAATATATTGATTCGGAAGCTGGAAATTTCAGATTAAAATGCTGGCAATTTTGGTCTCTCTGAAGGACCTTTCTGGTCTGTAAATGGCACCATCTGGTTCTTCCTGCAAGTGAAGAAAAAGGCGAGTGAGCTCCCTCTTGTCCCTTACAAGGGTGCTGGTCTCCCATTCATGAGGATTTTAATGATCTAATTCACTTTCTTTATGAACTTACAGATGTTCAAAACTCCTCCTCCCAATACCATTGCCTTGAAGTTAGGATTCTTTTCCATTAAGAATTTTCAGGATCTACAGGGCTGGAGAGATGGCTCAGAGGTTAAGAGCACTGACTGCTCTTGGAGAGGACCCGGGTTCTATTCCCAGCACCCACATGGCGGCTACAAACCGTTCTTAACTCCAGTTCCAGGGAATCCAAAGCCCTCTTCTGACCTCCATGACATTCTGGCATTACACAACACGGGTGTACTCACATATATGCAGACAGTACACTCATACACATAAAATAAAATATTTTTTTAAAAAAAAGAATTTTCAGGATCTGGATCTATACCTTGGATAGAGGAGTCTTAGTGGCCCTGGATTGGATGCCCAGTACTGCAGACAAAGCGATAGGGATGAGCCAGAGGTTGTAGCTCAGTTGGTAGGGTGGTTGCTTGTCTAGCATGCTAAATTCAGTAATCCTGGCATAGTATAAACTGACCTTGGTGGCAAGTGCCTGTGTATAATCCCAGGTGGCTGCAGGAAGAGCAGAAATTCACATTCTTAGATACAAACCAGAGTTTGAAGCCCACGTGTATGTATTTTCATGAAGTACAAGACTCCCTCTGAAAGAAAGGGAGGAGAGGGAAGGAGGGAAAGAGCTAGGTCCACACATCAAAAGACAGCTGTTCAAAGGTAGCTTATCTGCCAGGTGTGGTGGCACTCGCCTTTAATCCCAGCAGACACTGGCAGATCTCTGTGCGTTTAAGGCTAGGCTGGTCTACAGAGTACCAGGCCAGCTAGGGCTACAGGGAAACCCTGTCTCAAAAACACCAAAAAAACCAAACCAAACCTTCAGGATGGAGAGGATAGAGGCTCTCAAGGCCCTACCTTTAGCTAAGCAGCTACTGGCAGTTGATGGCTGCGGTGGGGGGGAAAGTCACTTTTCTCTGAGGGATAACCAGTGGCAGGTTACCCATACCCCAGTGGGTAACACCATCACCATGTACATGTGGGCAGCACTAACTGGACTCAGCAGGTTTTTTGGGTTTTTTGTTTTGTTTTGTTTTTTGTTTTTTTAAATAAAAAGACTGGAAGTGGGAAGGTAGATATATTGGGAAAAGGTCAAGGGGAGGTAGAGGGGCCAGATGTGATTAAAATCCATTGGAAACATCTATGAAAGTTTCAAAAATTAAAAAGCTGAATAAAATAAAAATGAACATGAAGAGAAGGAGGAGAACTCCAAGTAAGATAGGCAGAAACAGAAAGAAAGTAAGTAATGGAGCGATAGAAAAGTGTGCTAGACAGAGAAAGAACATGTGCTGCAAAGACCACCAGTGACACCATCAATGAGAAGACGGAGAAATATCAGCAAGCCACAGGGAGCCAGAGAGGCCTGCAGCACACAGCCTGCCTGCCACCACTGCCCTCTCTGTGGGTCAGCACATTATTTTTCTGGCTTTTGTTAGGACTCAAGTTAGGCTCAAGTTAGGACTCTGGTAACCGCTACTCAAGAGTCCTGTTTTGTGCACAATTTATACTTCCTTTGGATTTCTGTGCAGCTGTAAGTAGTAGATGGTTAGTAATCCAAATTAAATACCCAGTTCGGGATTTTAAAAATACTAGGTAAGATAGCTTTTTTCTTTTTTTTTTATCTTTTTGCGACAAGGTCTCCCTGTAGCCCCACTGGCCTGGAACTCACTATGTAGACCAGGATGGCCTTGAACTCACAGAGGTCTACCTGCCTCTGCCTCCTGAGTGTGGGACTAAAGGCCTACACCACCATGCCCAGCCATCCCCAAGTTTTTTAACTGACTTAATCTTAACACAGCCAACCACAGTTGCTGTGAGTTCATGTATGCATGTCATGTCCAGAGGCCAGCATTTCACAGGACTCCTTCTCATCCTTTGCATTTTACATTCTTTCTGCCCCCTCTTCTGTGATGTTCCCTGAGCCTTGAGCAGAGGATTGGTGTGGCTGAATGCTCAGCCTTGCTTGAAACATGTATGTTTTATTCATCTTTATTTTGAGTTTTCACCCATCACAGAAAGACACTACCATATGGCCTTGGGCTGTTTGCTCTGTTGTTTTCCAGGTCAGCATAAGTAACAGTTTCAAAAGTCCCTTTCTACTGTAGATTGTCCTAGGATACAGGTTTCCCACTAGTTTATGATGGAAAGAAACAGCAGTCCATTAAAAAAAGTAGAGCATCTTCTGGGCAGACTGAGCAGTAAATGTTTAAGGAGGAATGAGACAAATACTTTGACTCTTCATAGTATTCCCTAAGTACCCATCTTTGCTTACATGACATTTATTATAAGAAAATTCCTTTGCTCAACTTTTTTATGGAACTACTTTTAATATTCATGATTTTCTGTAATATGTAGAGGTGAAATAGAAGTATCTAATCATGTACTTCAAGACAATTTTTTAAAGATAATTTCATTTTTAAATTTTTCTTCTGATTTATTTTTATGTGTATGAATTTTTTGCCTGCATGTATCTCAGAGTGTCCATGTCATGCAATGCCTGCAGAGACCAGAAGAGGGCATGGGAATCCCCTGGAACATAAGTTAGAGATGGTTTTTAGCTGCCCTGTGGGAGCTGGGAGCTGAACCCAGATCCTCTGGAGGAGCAGCCAGTGCTCTTAACTGCTGAGCTATCTTCTCCAGCCCCAATACCTTTATTGTCTGTGAATGACATCTTATATTTTTTAAAACCTGCTTTTCTTGAGATAGCTGACATTGACAGGCTTCCAAAGTTGTGATTGTTAGTTTTTTTAATTAATTGAATTGTCTTCACTGTGCACATTTTTTAAACCAAATAAGACATTAGGAAGTGATGAGGATTTGTTTAGTCCTTTACAATGGGGCAGTGTTAGCACTTTTCAGTACTGTTCTACCTTCTTCCAAGCTTCTGTTCTTAATTTCTATGATTGCCTAGAGTACTAGACTTTGTCTTTACAATGAAAGAATAATGTTTTCACCATAAGTACAACAGACTAAAATGTACTCACAATAGTTATTGTTAAACTTTTTCTTTTACTTTGTTTCAGGAAGCTATGTTCTTTTAACAAAAACAAGTGTGGGGCTGGAGGGATGGCTCAGTGGTTAAGAGCACCATCTGCTCTTACAGAGGACCTGGGTTTGGTTTCCAATATCTACATGGCAGCTAACAACCTTTTGAAACTTCAGTTCCAGGATTCATCACCCTCTTCTGACTTCCATGGGCATTGTATGACATACCCCTATGCTTACATACATGGAAGCAAAACTTTCATACACATAAAATAAAAATTAAGTGGCATAAAGAAAAACAAGTGGTTATTGGAAAACACCTATTAATACACTTAGTGATATTTGCATTTTATACTGGTTCTGGTCTACACGTAGATAAGGGAAGGATAAGTCTCCCATTTTAGGTAGAGCATTGTTTTCTGTATCATTCCATTGGATGCGTGTATGGCCTGCATGTAGGTAAGTGCACCCGTGTCATGCAGTGCCCGTGGAGGTCAGAAGAGGCTGTCGGATCCCCTCGGACTGGAGTTACAGACAGTTGTTAGCGGCCATGTGGGTGCTGGGATTCGATCTTGGGTCCTCTGCAAGAACAACCAGTGCTCTTAACTGCTGAGCCATCTCTCCAGCCCCTGTTGCCTAATTCTTTATATTTGGTAATTGGGGCTATTTTGGTCCATTTCCAGTGTGATCTATATTTTTAACATAAAATAAGTAATTGAAGTTTTTTTCTGTAGGCTACAGAGAGTGAAGTAGGAGATGTAGATTTAACACGTCTTCCAGAAGGACCTGTTGATTCTGAGGATGAGGAAGAAGAGGAGGAAGAGATTGATCGAACAGATCCACTGCAGGGTCGAGATCTTGTTCGAGAATGTCTTGAAAAAGAACCTGCAGACAAAACTGATGACGACATTGGTGAGAAGCATATCTGTTCACCTAAGAGTTTGTAACCATATATGGATAATTATCTATTACCACTTAACACATTAGTCTAAAACTTAATTACTTAAAATAACGTATATTTATTATTTCATAGTTTTTGTGGAATTCAAGAACCCCTTAACTAGATAACTTTCAGTGTATCTAAAATGGTAGTAAGAATGTCCATACAGGCTTCCATCATTCAAGTCTGTGAGTTCTAGGCCAGCTGGAGCTACAGGGAGACCCTGTCTCAAAAAGACAAAACAAAAAACAAAACAAAAAAAACCTTTATGCATATTTATGCCAGGCCTGCTGGTGCATGCCTTTAATTCCCAGCACTTGGGAAGCAGAAGCAGGCAGATCTCTGTGAGATTGAGGCCAGCCTGGTCTACATAGTGAGTTCTAGGCCAGCTGGGGCTATAGAATGACTCTGTCTCAAAAACGACCAAAAAAAACCTGTGCATGTTTCTTTCAGAACTAGTTAATTATGTTAGTTGGAAAATTAAATATTAATGGTGTTGATGTATCTTTAAGGAAGTAAGTTTAGTATCTATTTATGCTGTAAATACCTAGTTTACACTATTTTTACGGAGGTTTCTAAAAATTGGATTATAATTAATTCCATTTATCCCTGAGGGTGGAGCATCTTTGTATAGTCCTTTCTGTGGAAGCTTGTAGTGTGCTCCATCTACATATGCTCTCTTGTATCTCTCTGTGTTAAAATAGCCTCAGGAACCCATAAACATTTAGTAAAAGCTTAGCTAGTAGATTTAACAAATCTTGAGCTAGAGTTCACATTAGGTATAATTTACTGACATTAATAGCATTAAGAAAATTCTGTCTTGGTAAGATTGGACAAAAGGGTTTTCACTGATCTCTCAAATCAAAGGACATCACAAAACTAAACTGCCACAGAGTGGCTTCTCTAGCTTTTCAGATTGTATAAACTTTACACCTTCATCTGAATGTGTGTGGTTTCTTCGTTCTGTCTTCAGTATGCCCATATTTGTATGTGAGTAAATATATGTGGGGGGGTGTCTATAAATCAGTATGTGCACACATGTAATCTACTAAATAGCCTATTTTTATTCAACAGTCTTATAGTCGTGTTATACTTTAATTTTCTACTTTAGTAGCAAAAGTTTATAAAAGGTTACAAAATTGGTTTTTGAATTCTAAATTTTGTTATGCATGGTGGCGCAGGCCTGTAGTCCCAACACTTGGAAGACAGAGGTCAAGGCCAGCCTGATCTACATAATGAGTTCCAGGCCAGCTGGAGCTACAGAGAAATGCTATTTCAAAAAGACAAAAAATAAGATAAAGATATTGTCCTTTATCTTCATACTAGAATTTCTGATTTTTTATAGAACAGTTACTTGAGTTTATGCACCAGCTCCCTGCCTTTGCAAACATGACCATGTCTGTAAGGAGAGAACTCTGCTCTGTGATGATTTTTGAAGTGGTGGAGCAAGCTGGAGCTATTATTCTTGAAGATGGGCAAGAGGTACGTTAAGAAATAAATGTCACGTCTCGTTTGGTATCAGTACAAATTTTAAATTATAATATATAATTATATTATTAATTCTATAAGCTTGTATAAAATCCCAACTCTTGAATTTAAACTATTTTGAATGAATACTGAGTTAGAGTAGCTAGAATTTCTGAAGAGGTTAACTTCATTTTGCTTTACTTTGTCTTAACTGTTGGTTTCCTAGCAAAGAACTTTTTTTCAAATTTGGTAGTAAGACTCTTCGAAGAATTCTTGATTGGTGTCCATTTGTGTATGCATGTTATTACTGTTTTAAGTGTTTGCCAACTCTCGTGTTCATCACCCATGAATGTGTATTAAAAGAAGCGAGGGGCATTATATTGGTGCCGTGCCTGCCTCCTAGTGGACTGCTGCAGCTCTGTCTTTGAAACTCCTCACGTGTCTACTTGTAGATGTGTAGAAGAAGATGGTACAAGATTGGAAAATGCTGCTGTAGGATTAATGCTGAGAAATAAATTTAGAAATTCTTAGCATTGGCTCTAATGCTCCCAGTCTAACCTCTTGTTATACTTTACCATTGTCTCTCCAGAGGACATAATAAAACTTGAACAGTTATGTCAAAGGAAGTTTATTATGGCATATTAGTAATAGAAAAATTGAGTATACCAAAATATAAACTAAGAACTGGCAATGGCTAACCAAATTACTACATCTCTATAGCATAAAATATTACATCATCATTTTTAAGCTCAGTTGGTTGAAGTGTTTATCACCAAGTGTGAGGATCTGAGTTCAATCCCCAGAACCTACATAAAAAAGTCAGACATAGTAGCACCCACCTATAAACTCAGCACTGAGGTAGTAGACAGTTTTAGCTAATAAAAAGGTTGACTATTAAAGAAAAATCCATATTCTTTCACTCTTATACAGTAGTAGATGTTTAAAAATAGAGCTGCCAGATCAGACTCAATGGGTATATATCTCGTTTGTTTTGAACATTTTTATATAAATGAAGACAGTTTTGTTAGTATTTGAAATTTTGAATATTTCGTTAGATGTGCCCTAAAGGTAAAGACACCCTCAGATTTTACTGGTTTTTGTAAATTAATCATTAGGAATCTTGGGTTGATTGTGTTGTGGGCACTATTCCAGGAATTCAGTATGCATTAACTCCATTGTCAAGTTCAGTTCTGTGTTGCTGCTGTTACAGCCATTTTAGCAGTACACAGAGACCCACAGGCATTGTACAACTTGGTGAAAGACATTGTGCTTCTTTCTTCCTCTATAGCTTGACTCCTGGTATGTTATTTTAAATGGCACTGTAGAAATTAGCCATCCTGATGGAAAAATTGAAAATCTCTTTATGGGGAATAGTTTTGGGATTACTCCCACTCTGGATAAGCAGTACATGCATGGAATTGTCAGGACTAAAGTAGATGATTGTCAGGTAAGCATATTTCTGGTCAAATAATTCTTTCCTGCTTGTTAGATTTTAAATAGCTGAGCCTTTTTTTTTCTCTCTCTCTCTTTTCCTCTCCTTCCTCAAAACAAAAAAGCTTCGTTTGATTCCTTACAGCTAATAAACTAGATTTATTTTATTTATTTATTTATTTTTTTGTCTTTTTTTGAGACAGGGTCTCAAAAAGACAAAAAAAAATATTATTGGTTTGTTTGAATACCAAAAGTCAAAAATAATTCAAGGTCTTTTTGTTTTCAAAAAAGGAAAGAAATAGGAACTTCTGCATTGCTGTCCCCTGGTCACCTACTACTTTGTGTTTTCTTTGTTTTGTGTCCCTTTTGAGAGAAATAACAGTTCACTTCTCCTTTTAGAGAATTCAGGCGACTTGACTTGGTGTCCGTGTATGAATTGTTTCACCCTGATTTTTGTTAAGTGTTAAGTGAATTAAATGGGAGCCGATGCCACTTTTTTTTTTTTTTTTTTTTTTTTGACAACTTGATTTCTTGCCTTGGTGCATAGTGATGTGTTTATGTACTCTAGGTTCATTAATTTTCCCCATGTTGTATGTTGTTCTTGGGCAGTTTGTCTGCATAGCCCAACAGGATTATTGGAGAATTTTAAATCATGTCGAAAAAAATACCCATAAAGTTGAGGAAGAAGGAGAAATTGTTATGGTACATGAGCACCGTGAATTAGATCGGAGCGGGACCAGGAAAGGACACATTGTAATCAAGGTGGGTGTTTTTACTTCTTATTCCAGAAATTGATGAGCTTCGTTTTCATCTTTTGTCTTGATTTATAAAGGCTCCAAACCACTTTTTTTCAGTTCTGCACATTTCGCTAGTGTATTGAAGTCTAAATAAATATGTTGGCTCTTCTTTTTCCAAGCTGGTTTTTACACATTTTAATGATGGAAGGTAACTTTCTACCATTTATTATCCAAATAGATATACTATTTTTTTTTATTATAGTAGTAAAATCTTTCCTTCTTAAATGTATAAGCCCTTGATAATAAGCAGTGTTTTGAGGGAGGCGGAATGCAGATAGAAAAATTCAAGAACTAGCCACAAAGACATACAGAGTCCAAGATGGAAGAGGATACAGAACTCTTGTTAGCATTGAAATAGGCTCTGGCCCCTTAGAACCTTACTTTTGGTTCAAAATGGAAATGATACAGGAGGTCAAGTTAGGACTGCATGAAGTAAATCGAAAGCTGTTACATAATTAAAGCGTGAGTAGTAGTCTCCATACTGTTTCCCTTCTATGAGCCCTGCCCTCCTGTGTTCTTTACCCTCCTTATCTTTTTTTTTTAATATTTTATTGGTTATTTTATGGGTATGAGTGTATTACCTGCATGTATGTGAGTGCTCCCGTGTTATGCAATGCCACAGAGGTCAGATTCCCCTGGAACTGGATTTAAGGATGGTTCATAGCTACCATGTGGGTGCTGGGACTCGAACCCCGGTCCTCTGCAAGAGTAGCCAGTGCTCCCAACCACTGAGCCATCTCTCCAGCCTCTCCTTCTTGTCTCTTTGGAAACCTTTGGATGTAAAATAGAGCAAGTATAGTCGAACCTAAATGTGTAACTTTCTCTTAAGTGTGTCATCATTATTAATTGGCAAATGGAGCTGTTCAGTAGTATGAATGTGAAGGTGTGAGTCTAATCCCGTCTGTCCTCCTTGGGAGTTGTGCTGTTAGAGCTATGAGCAAGAGCTCCTGAGCTATGAGCAAGAGCTCTTTATGTAGAAAAGGTGAATATGAGTGTGGTGGTTACACATCTGTAACCATCCCAGCACAGAGAAAGTGGAGTCAGGAGGATCAGGAGTTCAAGACCAGCCTCACCTATATAGCATGTTCAAGGGTAGTGTGCTACATGAGACCCTGGAAGGAAAAATAGAAATGGAATGCATAAGCTAATGCATATAACTTTTTATCTCTTAACTCATTTTGTCTTTGGCATGGCCTCCTATTTATTAATAATTTCAAACCTATAAAAACTTCAAAAAGTGGGCAGGAAAAATAGCTCACTTAGTAAAGGACTTACCATACAAATATAAAGACCTGAATTTGTTCCCCTAGAGATACGTAAAAAGCCAGGCTCAGTGGTACACACCTGTAGTATCAGTACTGGGGAGGCAGAGCAGAGGATTCCATTCCCCCATCTCACTGGCCAGCCAGCCTAGCTGAATTGTTGAGCCTTGGATTTCAGTGAGAGACCTTATCTCAAAACGTAATGTAGAAAACAGTTGAAAAGACATATAAAGTTGACCCTTCACCTACACACATGCATACACATATCCATATGTACATACACACAACAAAAAAAAAACAAGTTGCAAGAGCAGTGCAGACAGCTCTGAGTCAGATCCCCTACTTTTAATATGTCATTGCCTCTGCCCCATTTTCATTAGCCTTTTGAACTGTTTGGGAAGTCTGCAAATCCATTGTGTCAACATTCCTAAGCATTCCGCAGGTATTTTCCTGTAAAGAACACTCCTACATAAACAAAAGTACACATTGCTACATAAAACCAGTGAGCCCCGAGTCCATATTGCGTTGTCCCCAGTGGTCCCAGTGTTGTCGCTTTTTCTTTTCTGGTCTGTCACTCCCATCCTTGGCAGACTTAACAGATGCAGCTCTTACATCCTGTCAAGTTTCCTAATGGCAGGATTGACAGTCATGCTTTCCACAAAGCAGCTCCACAATGATGTTGTTGTTCTGGTACATTCCATTAGTGGTGCAGTGCTGTCAGACCCTCCACTGATGACCTGATGTCCACTTCCCAGTTTTCCTCACTTTAAAAAGTCACCATTTTTAACACTTCATAATTGATGAGTACCTGACAGAGAGATGTTCTGAGATGGAATCAGTATGCTACCTTCAGACCTGGTGTGTGGATAATAACAGCTAGGTACAAATGTCTTCCCACCAGTTTGGGGGTTTTCGTTTTGTTTTTTTATGTATATGAGTGTTTTGCCTGCATGTGTATGAGTGCACCCATACATGTAAATGAACGCCCACAGCGGTCAGAAAACGGTGACATGGTCCCCTGGCTGGAGTTACGGACAGTTGTTAGCCACTGTGTACATGCTGGGAATTGAACCCAGGTCCTCTATAAAAGCAGCCAGTGCTCTTAACCACTGAGCCATCTCTCCAGTTCCTCTCTACCTGTTTTATTATCATTGACTACTCCTACCTTGAATGGGGTTAACTCTTTTGCCATAATTTTTTTGTAGTTATTAGCTGTCATTTAAGTATGATCTTTGTCTTCTCCACCATCCGCTTATACTTGGTATACAGACATGGGTTTCACGTTCCCTTTACTGTCAGTGTTATTCTAATGCTCAAACTGTCTGAGATAAACCTGGCCTGATGGCACACAGCTTTAATCCAGCACTCAGGAGGCCAAGGCAGGCAGATTTATGAGTTTCCAGGCCGGCCAGGGCTACATAGCGACACCCTATGCTCAAAAATAAATAAATAAATAAAAATCTGAGCTATCACCAGTGAAATGCTCTTTGGGCTGATGCCTCAAATTCTTTTGAAATTCCCCCCATCATCCTTTGAGAACTTTCTTGTTTTCTGACGATTAGTAAAAAGTCATCATGAACTTTTTCTGCCCTTGATCGTCCAGTGGAGGATAGCACTTATAAGCCAAGGTTGCCCTCATGAGTCAGAGCTAGGAAATACTTGTATATGTGTTCATTATCAATGCCCATCTACCACTTCCTCTGTGTGTATTAAACAGCTCTGAGTTTTACATCTTTGCTTTCTGTGTTGGTTAATAACTCTCTTACTGACTTGGTCATCATAACCAATCTCTACCATACCACCACCGTGTCTTTTACCTTTACCTCTGTGTACACCCTCTCCAAGCATCCCACCTCTTGGTTGCTGCTGTGAATATTGGTGGCATGGGGTTCTTTAAAGTTTTGAATGTATGGCCCAGACATAAGGGACCCACCCTGTCTACTGATTCAGAAAAACAGTATAATGGTTTACCTTTAATGTTGACTTGTTCCCACCCTGAATTAACTGTATGTAGCCTTAGAACAATTCAGTTAAATCTCACCAAATTAGGATTGGCCTGAATTACAAACCCAATTTGGTGATATTGACAGTAAGTAATAAAGAGAAAGAATCTTTGGACTCTGTGCCGTAAACTTACTCCTGAGTGTCTTCAATAGAAATTATTTCACCCCTTGTTAACATTGGGTGCCTTTTGAAAGAAAATTCTTAGGTAAGGACATTGTTTCTATTAATGTATGTTGACTATTTAGATATTGTGCACAACAAATTGTTTGAAGGTTATGGACCACAGTTGCTTAGCATCCATTTTTTAATGTGTGCTCTGTGTACCCACTTCTGAAAAAGCTGCAGTACAGGACTGAGACGATCACATGGTCAGTAAAGTGCTTGCCTTACAAGCGTGAGGACCTGAGTTTGAGCTTTAGCTCCCACATTTTAAAGGCAGGCGTGTGAGGCTGGAAAGATGGCTCAGCTGTTAAAGTGTTTGTGGCACAGTCAAGAGGAACTTAATTCAGACTCCTAGCCCCCCTCAACAAAGAGAGATGCAGTGACAAGTGCCTGTAATCCCTGCTCAGAGGAGGCAGAGACAGATAGGTCCCTGGAACTTTCTAGCCAACCAGTCTAGCAACTTGGTTGAGCTCCATGTTCAGTGAGAGATGTGGTCTCCAAAAAATAAGGTAGAGAACAAATGAGAAACACATCAATGTCATCTCTGTTCTAGACACGCACATACATGCACACAAACATATCCATATGCACACCTTTACCACACACATACCAAATAAAACAGGAGTGGTGACACATACTTGTAATCTCAGGTTCTGGGGAAGCAGAAACAGGTGGATCCTTGAGGCTCACTGGCCAGTCAGCCTAGCCTACCTGGCAAGTCCCAGGCCAGTGACAGACCTGTCAAAGAAGAAAAAGTGGGGCCTCAGCACTGACGCCAAAGTTGTCCACTGGCCTCTATGTGCATGTTCTCACACACACACACACACACACTTCAGAAGATTTTTTTTGGTCTTTTTGAGACAGGGTCTCCCTGTAGCCCCAGCTGTCCTGGAACTCACTATGTAGACCAGGCTGGCCTTGAACTCACAGAGATCCACCTGCCTCTGCCTCCCAAGTGCAGGGACCACAGGCATGCACCACCACGCCCAGCTAATAAATTTTTAATATTTGTTCCCAGAAACTCAAGGAGGATGCATAGAAAATATTTGTTCTCGTGATTTTATGTGTACATTTTGAGGCAGACAAGCATTTTAAAATGCTGACTGGAAGCTGGAAAGATGGCCAGTTAAGAGCACTGGCCAGTCTTGCAAAGGACCCAAGTTCAATTCCCAGCACCCACATGGCTGCAAACAACCGCCCGTAGCACCAGTTCCAAGGAATCCAGTGCCATCTTCTGACCCCTGTGGGCATTGCATAGCATGGGTGCACTTAACATACATTCAGGCAAAACACTTATGTTTAAAAATGCTGACTGTACAAACTTGATGTTTTCCCCTGATGGTAATCAGCAGGAGGACACAAAAGAAGACAATATCTGTTCAAGGAAATCCTCCTGTCCGTGGAGCAAAGATCAGATGTGGAAGCGAGCTGCCTTCTTCTTTTCTTTCTTGCCTTTCTTCTCCATTAACCTTGGACACTAGCTCTCCCCTAATGTAGCAGAAGTAGCAGTCACAGCCCACACACGGGATAAATCAGTACAGTTCATTCAGTGGGCCTGCTCTGGTGAATTCCAGTAGAAACCAGTACAGTGGAGCAAATGCTATTGGGTGCTTATCTTTGCTGCTCTATTTGGTCCTTAGTACTTTGTTTTTCCTAATCCTTTCTGTCCTTGTATTTTCAGGCAACACCTGAGCGCCTCATCATGCATTTAATAGAAGAACATTCCATCGTGGACCCAACTTACATAGAAGATTTCCTATTAACTTACAGGACATTTCTTAAAAGTCCTTTGGATGTTGGGCTCAAGCTATTGGAATGGTTCAAGATTGACAGCTTAAGGGATAAGGTTGGTTTATAAATATAGAAGGCATGAAAGTAGTGATAGCCTTAAATTTCATTACCAGAACCTTTTGCAATTTGTAAGTCAGATGTTTACGGCTGGGCATGGTAGTGGTGCATACTTGATCCCAGCACTTGGGAGGCAGAGGCAGGCAGATCTCTCTGAGTTCAGGGCCATCTGGGGCTACAGGGAAACCCTGTCTCAAAAAGAACTAAATAAATTAAATAAATAAATGTAAATAAGTAAATAGTTCACTTTGGAGAAAAAAATTTCAGTTGACCAAAAATAAATTGATGAGTTGGTGTAGACCTATCTCTTCTCTCTTTTATGACAAAATGACTGAAAAAAGTGGACATGAGCCACAAAAATCAGAAACTGAAATAAACTTAGATCTGTAACTTCAGGAAACATGGTAGTAGTTTAGGATTTTGCCAAAATATTTGACTCTTTTCTGCAGGTCAGTAAAACAATACTCGTTAAAAAGTTGTAAGGAATATTCATCTTGTAATTCATTTAAATACTTTTGAGTTATTTTTGCATTAAATACTATTTGCTGTCATTAGTAGATTATTTTACTTTATTGCATTTAATGAAAAGACACCTCATCAGATTGGTTGGATGTAAATTTTTTCAAGAATGTAAAAGAGGGTCATACTTTCCTAGTGTAACCTTCTGGGTTACGATTTATTTATTTATTTATTTTTAATTTTATTTATTATTTTTATTTTATGTGTACGAGTGTATTGTCTGCGTGTATGTGAGTGCACCTGTGGCATGCGGAGGTCAGAAGAGGGCTTCAGATTTCCCTGGAACTGGAGTTAAGGACAGTTCGTAGCCGCCATGTGGGTGCTGGGAATCAAACCCTGGTCCTCTGCAAGAACAGTCAGTGCTCTTAACCACTGAACCATTCTCTCCAGCCCCAGTTGAGTTATATTTTAAAGAAAATAAATACATGTGTATAAACAGTAGAATTCTATTATTGGGCACCTAAAGTATCCAGACTTCCTCCTCCCTATTTTGGAAGTACAAGTACTTCAGCTCTTGAGAAAATAAAGGGGTGCTTACAGAATGAACCAAAACATAATTTAGAAATAACTAGGCATGTAAAAGAATTGGACCCTTATGTACACCATGTGCAAAAAATTTAGTCAAAAGAGCCAAGTGTGGTGGCACGCGCCTTCAATCCCAGCACTCGGGAAACAGAGGCAGGTGGATCTCTTTGAGATTGAAGCAGGGCAGCAAGATGGATGAAGGCTAAAAATGTTTGCTATACAAGCCTGATGACCTGGAATGTGCGTGTACACACATACCCATCCCCCCAAATATTAACAAGTGGAACATCATCATAATTAAAGCTTTTCTGCCAGGTGTAGTAGTGCACACCTTTGATCCCAGTACTCAAGAGGTGGAGGCAGGTGGATCTCTTGAGATTGAAGCCTGCGTGGTCTGCTTAGCAAGTTCCAAGCCGCCTGGGGCTACAGGAGTTCCTGTCTCAAAAATAAACTACAACAACAAAAAATTAAAGCCTTCCTCCTACATCAGAAAGTACTTTCAAGGGACAGGAAAGATGGCTCAGCAGTTAAGAGCACCAGCTGATCTTCCAGAGGATCCCAGGTTTATTTCTCAGCACCCTCATAGCTTCTAATAGCTGTCCGTAACTCCAGTTCCAGGGAATCCAACAGCCTCTTCTGACCTCCAAGGGCAGTGCATGCATGCACATACATGTAGGCAAAACATTCATACACATAAAATCAAAATAAATTAATTTTTTAAAATATACTATCTAGAAGCACATATTGGAGCTAGGAAGATGTCTCGTTGACTAAAGTGCTTGCCCCACAAGTATGAGGATGGGAATTTGGGTCCCCAGAACCCAAATATGCTGGGTGGACAAAGTAGCCAGTCTGTAATTCCAGCCTCAGAAGTGGTCAGGGGATCTCCTTGAAAACTGGCCTGGAGGACTAGCCATATCTGTGAGCTCTGGAATTTTATTGAGAGATCCTGCCTCAATGAATAAGATAGAAGAGTGATGGGATGTGATTTCCAAAATTAACCTTGGATGTTGATCATACATTCATGTATACCCACACACATGTGCCCATACATGTAAATGTGTACACATCACATATGAAAATGGAAAAGAGGGAAGAATGCCTAAGACAGCACACAGTTTGAGAAAAGATGTTTGGAAATCATACATGTGAAAAGGATCTAGAAACCAGAATATATAAAAAACTCTTACTACTGAACAACAAGAAGATAGACAACATCATTGGAAAATGAACAAGTGATCTGAATTAACATTTCTCTGAAGAAGATTCGTAAATGACCAGTAAGTACATGGAAAAGATAATTCAGTATCATTATAATACGGAAATCCACTCAAAATCACAATACTACTTCCACCCACTGAAATGGCTTTTTCAAAAGGAGAAAGAAAATAGCAGACCACTAAGAATGTAAGAAATTAGACACACAGCATTGAAGATGGAAATACAAACTTTTATATTCTCAGTGAAAAACAATTTGGCAATTCTCTAAAAAATTAAACAGAGTAGACCTGTAACCCAAGAATCCTGCTCTGAGGTAACACCCCAAGAAGAGACAACAGGCAGACAACTTACACAGATATTCACAGCACTATTGACAGCAGGTAAAGGGTGGAAACAACCCAGTGTTCATCAGGGATAAACAAAACATGTATAAAATAAACAGTATAAAAAAAAATGAGGTGCTGAATGAAAGAATCCAGTTACCAAAGGCTGCATGCTGCCTGTTTCTTTGAATATGAAGTGTTCTGAATAGTCAAATAGAGACAAAAAAAGCAGATCCCTATGGCTGTCAGCAGCAGGATGCATGCAGGATGGGAGGGACCACTTAATGAATGTGGACTTCTCTTTTGGGGTGATAGAGTGTCCCAGAACTAGTGATGATCATTGCCTGGCATTGCAAGTATACTGACGGCCACTGGATGCTGTGCTGTTATGGGTCTTCTATCACAGTTTTTGAAGTAGGGCTCATTAGTTAAATTGTTGGGCATAATATTCAAATCTACTTACGTGTGTTTTGTGTTGTGTAGTGGGTGGATGCTAATGTGTATGTGTGGGTCTGTGCACCGTGTGTGCGTGTGTAAGGGTCAGAGCTTGATAACTGGTATCCTCCTCTTTTGCTCTCCACCTTGTTTTTTGAGACATTGCCTCTCACTGATTTTAGAATTTACCACTTAGCTAGGCTGGCTAGCCATTGAGCCCCCAATTCGTCTGTCTGCACCTTACAGCACTAAAATTGGGTGTGTGCGATCACACCCAGCTTTTTATGTGCTAGGATTCAAACTCAGATCCTCATGCTTTCGCAGAGCAAGCACTTTATCCACTGAGCCCTGTGCTTAGCCCACATCTTTTTTTTACTTTTTTTTTAATTTTTATGTGTGTGTGTCACCTGCATGTGTGTAAGTGTATCATGTGTGTGCGGTGGCCTCCAGAAGCCAGAAGAGGGTGCCTGATCCCCTGGGACTAGAGTTAAAGATGGTTGTTAGCCACCATGTACCTGCTAGGAATCAAACCCGGGTCCTCTAGAAGAACAGCAAGTGTTCTTAACTGCTGGACCATGTCTCAAGTTCGGCCCCACATTTCTTAATTTTTAACTTCAGCAAAGTAAGCATCCTAACTCACTGCTTTGAAAAATTGACAGTGTCTAATGAAGTTTCAGGTGTTTCTCCTAAATTTGGTCAAGTTTATTGTTCACTGTAGAAACACTTTTGAGGTTATGTTTTGATTGATATGACTGCCTACATTTACGATAAACATAAAGCTTTTGTTTAGGACCCTGTCTGAAATGCATTTCCCACTACTTTTATCTTCCCACTTAGTGGAAACTTCTGCTCTTAGTTGTAAGCAAGAGAAGTATAAGTTGAAATTAAACTACATGCGCTTCTCCTCTGGAATAATCGTTTTGTGTAACAGAGAGGTCAGGAACGGTACCCAGAAGACACACCTCTCATAACCGCATGCTTCCTTCTCTGTGTCCACAGGTCACCCGGATTGTGCTGTTATGGGTAAATAATCATTTTAATGATTTCGAAGGTGATCCTGCCATGACTCGATTCTTAGAGGAATTTGAAAAAAATCTGGAAGACACAGTAAGACTTGAAAGAATTTTATCTTTTTCAGAGTTGTATTCTACTTACTCCCTCAACAAGAACATCTCAGAACAGTTCCATTCTCTCTTGTGTCTTCAATATCTATTCTGATAGATCTGCGTTGTAGGATGTGACTCCTCACCAGAGTGAAAGCCATGGTCCTTCCAGACTCTGGTTTCTGTTTGGGGACTAAGATCTCTTGTTAGATATGTGCTTGAACAAGTTGCCTAACCTTTATGCTATCATGATCTTATTTAAAGATAATAGTCTCTAGTTCAGTGAGCTATCATTACAACAATCTGGAAAGAAACCTGCAAACAGCAATACCAAGACCTTAGTCTCTAGAGTGTAAGTGGGTTGGGTTGAGCATAGAAGAGGACTGGCAGGTCTGGTCCCTTTCCTGACCCCTCAGTTCATGTGGACTTCTCAGCAGCATATTGCAAAATGGGGTGAAGTGAACAGACACTGGGGGTCTTAAGAAATGGGCTGTTTAGGCACATCAACATCAGTGGGCTCTTGCAGTGCCAACTATTGAAGAGGTAGGTAGGGATTGAAGAGACACTGCAGGAGAAAATGCTTTGTAAGATTGGATTTTACCCCCACTACTTATCAAATATTTATTGACTGCTACAGCTCAGTGGCCTTATGTAGGATCAGAACAAGTGTACAATTTGGTCTTGGCCCCTGGCAAAAAACTTGGACTTCTTTTTTTTAAGTTTTGTTTTATTTATTTTGTGTGTGTGTGTGTGTGTGTGTGTGTGTGTGTGTGTGTATGTGTGTGTGTGTGTGTGTTGCCTGCATGTAGGTAAGTGCACCCACGTCGTGCAATGTCCACAGAGGTTACAAGAGGCTGTCAGATCCCCTGGGACTGGAGTTACAGAAAGTTGTTAGCTGCCATGTGGGTGCAGGGATTCAAACCTGGGTCCTCTGCAAGAACAACCAGTGTTCTTAACTTCTGAGCCATCTTTCCAGCCCCAAAACTTGAACTTCTTAAAGCTATGACATGTTCTCAAACGTTAACACTGTGTGAAAAAAATTGAATATTTAAACTAATGATAGAACCTAAAATTAGAATGTTATTTAGTCAAGAAAGCATTAAGTAAAAAATCTTTTCTTGAAGAGGTCGAGACTTGAATATGTCTTTGAGTATTTGACAGTGTAAAGATTCTGGTTTTGTAGAACCAGCCAAGAGGTGTGCAAGGTAGTAAAATGAGAGTTAAGAGTCAGGAAATAAGAAGTGATTTTTTTTTTATCAGTTCTGTAATTCAGGTATGACTTTGAAATCTTTTCTAACCTATTGCCTAAAAGTCTTTTAAAATTTTATTAAGAGGGGCTGGAAAGATGGCTCAGTGGCTGCTCTTGCAGAAGACATGAGTTCGATTCCCAGCACCAATATGGCAGCTAAGAGCTGCCTGTAACTCCAGTTCCAGGGGAATCAAACATTTTCTCTGACTCCAAGGCATTGCACAACACGGATGTACTTACACACATGCAGGCAATACACTCGTATACATAAAATGTCCCCGAGGGCAGAGAGGCTGTCAGATCCACTGGAACTGGAGTTGTGGACAGTTGTTAGCTGCCATGTGGGTGCTGGAATTCGAACCTGGGTCTTCTGCAAGAACAGTCAGTGTTCTTAACTGCTGAGCCATCTCTCCAGCCCAATAAAAACAATTTTTTAAAAAACATTATTAAGAAGTCTTGGTCTCAAGTGCTGTGCAGTAGAAGTGCCCTCTCCAGTTTTACTTAATGTGGCTTACACATTCTACCTGTAGGTTTTTTAGTTCTGATTCTACTCATTTTAGATGATTTTAAAGCCTATAGAAGCAGATACATTTATGTATATTTTATACCGTTTCCTGCCTTATAGAAGATGAATGGTCACCTCCGGTTACTGAATATTGCCTGTGCTGCAAAGGCTAAGTGGAGGCAGGTTGTGCTGCAAAAGGCTTCCCGGGAGTCCCCTCTGCACTTCAGCCTGAATGGAGGCAGTGAAAAGGGATTTGGTATCTTCGTTGAAGGCGTAGAACCTGGTAGCAAAGCTGCTGATGTGGGTCTAAAACGAGGTGATCAGGTAAGTAAGTAGTATTTTTGTATGCATGTGCGTGTGTGTGCCCATGCAAATAGAGACAGGACAACTTCAAGCACTGTTCCTCAGGAGCTGCCCACTCTTGGGAGGTGATCTCTCCCTGGCCTAGACCTCGCCAGGTAGGCTTGGCTAGCTACCCAGCAGGTTCTCATCTTTCCTGTTGGTGTTTCCCCAGCCCTAGTGTTAATACTTAAATACAGTTTGTTTTCAAGACATTTATCATATGTTCTTATCATATATCAGGATCATTGTACTCATTTAATTTGATAATATCATGGCTGAAAACCAATAGCATGGTTTACAGGGTTTTATCAACATGACCTCTTTGAAATGGCCCAGAATATCCTAGAAAGAGCTTTATGAATTAGTACCCTTACACGTTTGAAGAAATAGATACTTCATAGTCCTTTCCAATATAAGTGACTGGAGACTACATAAATGCCAGTGTCAGCTAATGCTCATGTGGTCTCTAAGTACATTTACAAGCAGAGTCCACCAGGTGAGGGACTAGAAGAAACTGAGAAATGGGAAGAATTGGTTGGTGACTTATCCGTTTATTAGACATTAAGTAACTATTGTTCAGGCTAATTCAAAGTGTCATTTAATGAGAAGCTCTCAAAGTATAAAGTGTGGCTCTCAGGTTTACCTTGGGCATGCTAATGGTACTACTTATATTCTCAGAAGAAAAGTTGGGGCTCTGTTGCAATTTTTTGTTGTTTTATGTATTGTTTTCTGGTGCTAAAGGTCAGACCCAGGACCTTACACATATGTGACACACACTATACCACCAAGCTCCAGAAATATAAGAATCTTTATTTTTAAAAGAGCTTGTAGATGATTCTCATGTACACCAAAGTTGTTTCCCAAATGTCAGTGATCTTTAGTTCACCTAGAAAGTGACCAGAGCCTTGCCGTGTGCTAGGTGAACACTGTATCCTTGCTGACACTTAGTGATCACAGGACAGGGATGCTGCTAAACAGCCTACAGTGCCCAGAGTGTCAGAGACCAATGTAAAATAGCATGAACACTCTTTTTAAGGAAGCCTTTTTTTTTTTTTTAAATGTGTATGTGTTTGAGTCTTTTGCTTGTATGTATGTAAGTACACCTGTGTCATACAATGTCTGCAGAGACCAGAAGGGCATGCATGATCCTCCCCTGAACTGGGAATTATAGAGGGTTGTTAGCCACCCATATGGGTGCTGGGAATTGAACCTGGGTTAATCTGCAAGAGCAGCCAGCTCTTAACTGCTGAGCCATCTATCTCTCCAGCCCCCTTAATTAAGGCAGCTTTTGAAAAGTAGAAATTCTGGCCCTTCTCCAGTTTTCTCATTACAAACGTTTAGTAGCCGGTGTCCTAGAATTGGATGAGGGTGGAGAGCAGGGAGATCTGATTATTCATATGCATGAAATGTGTTGTTCCTTTCCTTCCATCAGCCTTTCTAAGTACTGTTGAAATGAGATTCCATAGATCACCTGCATTGTATCTAGACTGTACATCCCCAGTATTTTGATTCATTTTACACATGTACGTCTGCATATTTGAAGATGCTTTTATTCACTGGACTTAGAAAGATCTTTGGTAACAGTGATTTTCCCCAAAGAACATTGAAGTTGCAGAAAAGTTTCACATTGTCGTATTGTTACCTAAGAGAAGTCCAAACCATTCTTTATTCTTATTTTATTCTCTCTCTCTCTCTCCCCTTCTCCTCTCTCATATGTGCGCGCACACACACACACACACACACAGTAATACCTTTTTTTCTGTCCTTGGAAATCAGAGTTTGTCATTGGGACGTTGTCCTAGTTTGTTCTTCATTGCTGTGACAAAACACTGACCACTACCAACTTGGGGAGGAAAGGGTTTATTTATCTTACATCTCCCAGGTCACAGTTCATCAGGGAGCCCAAGGTAGGAACTTGGCAGGAACCTGGAGGCAGGAGCTGGAGCACAGGCCATGGAGGAACGCTGCTTACTGGCTTGCTCCCCTGGCCTCTGCTCAGCTTGCTCTCTTATCGCAAACAGGCCCACCTGCCCAGGGGTGGCACTACCCACAGTGGGCTGAGCCCTCCCACATCACTCAGCAATCAAGAAAATGCCCCACAGACATGGCCACAGGCCAGTCCAATGGAGACAATTCCCCAATGAGGCTCCCTCAACCCAGGTGTGTTAAGTTGACACTAAAGCTGTCCAGTACAGATATGTTAAACTAAGTAGATCTTTATTACATTGGCATGGCATTAGATACTAGTCATTTTGGTATGTTTTTGAACTCTAATTATGTTTCTGTAGATTTTCCCTTTTCTTTGCCAAACAGGTTTTGCATCATTTATTTATTTATTTATTGTCCTTGAAATTTTCATTTCTAAAAATAAGTTTTGTATGGTAGTGAGGCTAACCCAAATCAGGGACTCCCTGCGGTGAGGAAACAGTAGTGCTCGCCCAGAGGAAGCATCTCAGTGCTGCTGCTTGTTTGGTGGCCTGAGGCTTTACTAATACATTTACAGTACTGATGCTTTTGAAAGAGAGTTTGGCTTATGTGAGCCTCTTGCCTTAGACTTGGGATTGTCAACATGCACTGACACATCCAGCTTTAGTGCTGCTTTTCAAAGAATTATTTCATTTAAAATGCACTAAATTTGCATTTAGAATATTTGACTAAAATTCGCATATAGGTAGTAAATTTTCAAACTGATTGGACATTGACATTTTTCATTTATAAATCATCTTAATATATTTTATGGTACATTTATTGTGTGTGCATGCTCACACACATTTATGTTCACGTGCTTGTGCCACAACGCATCTGTGGTGGTCCTTCGAGAAGCCAGTTCTCTGCTCCACCAGACTGGTCCCAGGGCTTAAATTAGGGCATCAGGCTTGGCAGCAAGGACTTTGACTTACTGAGCTTTCTCACCAGCCCCTCCCCTCTTTTTTTCAGGGTGGGGTAAAGGAGAGAGGGTTTATTTTATCTTACAGGTTATGGTCTGTCATCAGGGACGCAATGAAGACAGTGCCCCATAGATATGCCCACAGGCCAGTCTGATGGAGGAAATTCCTCAGTTGAGACAGCCTCTTCCCAGGTTTGCTCATTTGACAACTGTAGGTAATTATGACATCTGTGTGACCTTTCTGTTGGTGAGAATGGGGTAGTGAAGTTACCCACTGATTTGTATTAAAGTCAGTCTGTGTTCCCCCATACCTCCACCAATCTCAAACATCTCTTACTGAAAGTACAGTGCAGGTTTTGCATCATGCTCTCTGTCTGAAACCATAGTTCTGACACTTTTCCATTGAGCTCTTTTTTCACTTGGAGGATAGTGGTCCGTGATTACAGGTAATGCCTTTGGAATAGATTCTTGACTCCCCCTTTCTACACCGCAAAGTGCATTGTTTTACTTTGCTATTAAAAGTAGTGATCAAATGATAAATGTGTCTGTAAAATGTATAGCCTAAATTTTGCAAAATTCTTTAGCCAGCCAAGTGCAAGAGTATGTCTCAGCCTTTTCATTTCCCATATATATCTTTTTAAAATATTTTTATTGATTCAAGAACTTCATATAGGGACTGGTTAAGAGCAGTGGCTGCTCTTGCAGAGGACCCACATTCTGTTCTCACATGGGGCAAACAACTGTCCCTAACTCCAGGTCCAGGGGATCCAGTGCCCTCTTCTGGTGTCCATGGGTACACATAAAATTCATACAGGCAAAACACTCATACACATAAATTTAAAGTAAATCCATTTTAAGATTAGGAATTTCATAAGGAATAGATTCTGGACTCCCCTTTTCTACTCTGCAGAGTGTGTGTTTATCATACTCAGGCCTTCTCCACTCCCTTCTTACTCCTCCCACTTCATGTCCTCTATTATTTGTCTTTATTTTTTTATTTTTTAAACATAAACTTTTACCCAAAGAAAATGCCTCTCCCCTTTGGGGGCAGGTGTTTTGTTTTGTTTCTGGAGAACAGGGTCTTGCTATGCAGACCAGGCTGGTCTCTGAACTTAAAGAAATATGCCTGTTTCTGCCTCCTGAGTCATAGAACTAAAGACTTGTGCCACTATGCCTGGCCTTGAGAAATAGCTCAGTTAAAAACTGTAGTGGGAGAGCTGGAGAGATGGTCTAGCAGTTAAGAGCACTTGCTGCTCTAGCAGAAGACCTGAGTTCAGTTTCCAGCACCCATGTCAGGTAGTTCACAACCATCTGTAACTCCAGTTTCAGTGCCCTCTTCTGGCTTCTGCTGGCACCAGCACACACATATACACAAACATCTACACATAAGTGAAAATAAAAAACTTTCTAAGAACTATAATGGAGTCTCTGGTAAGTATGGCAATTTAGAGAAACTTTAGTCCTGCTTTTAAAAATGAATCACTCTTCACATATGATATACTTTACTCAAGTTCCTTTTTATTTTCCTATTAAACATTTAAGGTTAGATGTGACTAATAGTATTTCTGTCTTAATTTGTATTTTTTAAATACTTTCAAGATAATGGAAGTAAATGGACAAAATTTTGAAAATATTACATTTGTGAAAGCCCTTGAAATATTGAGGAATAATACTCATCTTGCACTTACTGTGAAGACCAACATTTTTGGTGAGTTTTGTTAAAGCTGCTGGGGTGGATTTGGGAGGGGGGCGTTGTTTTGTGATAATAACAAAAGTGAGATGTCACTTCAATGACATAGAAGATAGTAAGACACAAAAATTTCATCTGTGATATTCAGATAGTAGAATTATTAGTGTTTTATAATCTGTAATTTTTCATGTAATAAATTCCCTGAAGCAAGTTTGAAAATAGAGGCACAACTTCAGTCATTTATGAAATAGCTGTTGAGCTTCTATTACATACTGTATTGTGCTGGGAACAATATAAAACTTAAATAAGCTGAATTCAAAACCTAGAAGTCATAACCAAGCCCTTTTCCTCTCCTGATGTACAAAGCCATCCACTTTTCCATATTTTGAACCAGCTCTCTGAAACAAATATGAATGCCAGATTAGCTGTTCCCTGAAAATAAATTCAGTAAATCATTGAAATCTATAGATTCCAGATTCCTAATCAGCCTAGTCTTCTTTGCACTGTATTAAATTTACTTTTTTTTAGATTTTTGTGGTGTGAGGGATTAGAGTCAAGGCTGTACACATGCCACACAAGTGCCCTGTAACTGAACTACATCTCCAGCCTTGCCCACAATTGTGTTTTTATCATATTTATATCTAGAGAATAACAAAAACAGTATTAAGCTTGTGCTTTTAACTGAGTCTACTATTGGTTTGGGTTTTTTAAAATATTTTATCTATTCTTTTTATTTTATGTGTATGAGTGTATTGCCTGTGTGTATGTGAGTACACCCATGTCCTGCAGTGCTGTGGAGGTCAGAAGAGAGCTTTGGATTCCCCTGAAACTGGAATTAAGGACAGTTCGTAGCCACCATGTGGGTGCTGGAAATTGAACCTGGGTCCATCTCTCCAGCCCCATTGATTTGGTTTTGAAAGTAGGAAAGATTTATTGTCTTTTGCTTTTCGTTGGGCTCCATTGGATTTGACTAATACTATGAGAACGATAACAATAAATCCAGAATAGCAACTAAAAACCAAAGACCATCTAGGAGTTCTTATGAGGTATGGGGAGTCCTCTGATTGTTTAGATTGCAATTAGAGAAGTAACAGTTGACTTCATGGTCTGCCTTTGGAAATGAAATGAGGGTTTTTTAACTTTGACTCTATACTGTGCTCAGTCATAATGACAAATGAAACATTCAGTGTTTTTCCTCTTTTTAGTTGTGTGCCTTTGACTTAATTACGTCATGGTAAATTTAGAGTATAATTGTTGACAAGTTCTCAGCAGTGTTTTACTTTAGCACAGAATAGGAAGCCTTCAGTTTTTTGCTGTCTGGGACTCGGATTCATGTCTACTAATACCAACTTTTTGTTTTTGACTTTCTATATTGTTTCTTAGGCCTTTGTTTGGTATAAAATTTAGAAATAAAAAATTCTTAACTTTTATTCTTATCAGATTTAAATGGTTCAAATTAATAATGCCTTGACATTACTTTTAAAATCTTAAGTTTCTAGAAGTTTGTTTTGTTTTTTTGGGAGGGGGTTGTCTTTTTGAAGCAGGGTCTCCCTGTAGCCCCAGCTGTCCTGGAACTCACAATGTAGACCAGGCCGGCCTTGAACTCACAAAGATCCACCTGCCTCTGCCTCCCAAGTGCTGGGATTAAAGGCGTGTGCCACTACGCCCGGCATGTTTCTAGAAATTTTAATAGTTTAGTCAATGCAAAAAATTGTGTGGTTTACACTCTTAACCACCCAAAAATTCTTATAAAACTAAACAGTCTCTTCTCTGTTAAGTGGCAGATTAGAAAAACATAAGGGATATATTCAAAATTCACAAATAACAACTGGAATTCTGTCAACTTTCAGTCCAGTGCAGCATAAACCCACAGATACTATGCATCACAATTCCAAATTAAAGGTGATAGTGGAAGGAACTGGAGAGATGGCTCAGCGGCTAAGAACACTGGCTGTTCTTGCAGAAGACCTGGGTTCGAATCCCTGCACCCACATGGCAGCCAACAACTGTCCGTAACTTCAGTTCCAGGGGATCCAACAGCCTCTTCTGTCTTTCGCAGGCATTGCACAACACAGGTGCACTTACCTACATGCAGGCAATACACGCATACACATAAAAATAATAATAATAAATTTTATTTTTTTAATATTAAAGGTGATAGTGGAAATGTCAGCAAGCCCTAACTACAACACGGTACTTCTGATAGGTTTCACTCCCTTCAGCTGGACAAAGCAAATGTACACATCTGACAGGCTGTTTAGAGAATTAAGCTCTCTGAGCTGTAAATTAAATGAGCACATACGTAAGAACGCAGCAGTGCCAAAGCAGTGAGGTGATTAGCGAAGAAGTCACATGGTCATGAATACAGCTGGTTCTTCTCTTCAAAAGCCACTTTCTGCTGATTTTTAAAGCTATTGTTTTGCAATTCTTTCTAAAAGGAAATGGTTTCTTCCCTACAAGCAGTCATTTGAGCATACAATCTTGACTACTATACAGTCTACAGATTTTTTGCAAAGCTTGACGTATCTCTTATTACTTAAAGAGCCTTTCAAAGCTCTTTAATAACAGATGATGAAGCTTCTTTTTTCACAAAGCCGTATAGACAGAGTCCCCATATCTAAACCAGTATTCAAAATTCTTGAAATTTCCAGTAGATGCATCTTCTCCCTCAGCAAGTTCAGGTTTGCTGAGGGCTCTACACACGCTGCTGCTGCTGCTGCTGCTTACTTTAGCCAAGACCCAGGCTGGCAGGAGGAGGGTACTGACCCCAGAACTGGAGCACCCACATCTCTTACTAATGCCATCTTTTAGTTTAAGTTAAAGGAAAATAACAGTTTTGGAAAATACGAAGCCAGACATGGTGGTGCATACCTTTAATCCCAGCACTTGGGAGGCAGAGGCAGGCGGATCTCTGTGAGTTCAAGGCCAGCCTGGTCTCCATAGTGAGTTCCAGGCCAACTGGGGCTACAGGGAAACCCTGTTTCAAAAAGACAAAAATATATATATATATAAGTAATATAGTAATTAGCAACAAGAAGGGAGCAAAGGGCTTAAAGATCTAAAAGGCAGGGAACCACAGCCTAAGAGCCCTCTAAGCCGTTAGCGTACTATTGCCTGCCAGAACCCTAGATGAGCTGTGGCCAAGGATACAAGGTTACAAAGCCATGTTGTACTGCAGAAATGTGGGGCCTGGGATAAGGTAAAGCATAGAAGTCCATGCCTCTTCTTACCCCAAGTAGAGTGCAGATAGCCAAGAAAAGTAGCAGAGACTCTCCAGCGGATATTTATGAAAATCTGTCAAAGTGTAGCATTTTAATGTAGACATGATGTTCACAGTAAAGCCACAGGAATTTTGGCATCACCATGAAATCAAGTTGAGCATGAAACTTGTAGGCATAGCACCTAAAGGGAAAGTTGTGACCGGAAAATGTTGAGATACTACAAGAGAAAAGGATGCTTAATCAGTTTGTCATTTAGCACTAATACCCAGTGACCACCAAGAGTAAGGACACTAGAGTCACAATAAGAGTAGGTGGAAGACAGCCAGTAAGTCGTCTTTTCCAAGCTGAAGAGGAAAGCTGATATAAGCAGTAGACAGAAAGCCCTTCTAGTAATTTAGAGCCTCATGTCTTGAAACAAGAGCAGCAAATCAGAAAAGAAAAAAGCTGCTCATAGATTGATGTGAAGTATGGTACTGGTAAAAGCCTTCAGTAGCAGTCAGGAGCAGGCTGAGGAAGTCCCCCAGACTGTCCATTACAGCAAGGCAGGATTGAGCGTCGTCCTCAGAGATCTAAAAGGAGATGAAGAAGAGGCATTTAGACCACACTAGCAGAGACTAGCCCAGAGTGAAGGAACAGTGTGACTCATCTGATTCAAAGGGGACTCAGCAGAATGAATTTTTAAGTTTTGTGCCGATTTTTTTGACTGAAGACACACCCTCCCACCCCTACCCCCCCCCAAAAAAAATAAGCTAGAGCACATAAAGAAGTACGTGCAAACAAGCATGACAAGATAGGAGAGAGCTACGTGGCACAGAAGGCAGTGTGTAAAGGAGTGAGCTGGGGCCAGAGACCATTCAGCAGATGAAGGTACTTGCCACCAAGCCTCACAGCCTGGGTTTGATTCCCCAGGACCCACATGGTAGAACAGAGAACTGCCTCTCTCCTCAGTTGTCCTCTGACTATACACATGCACATCCGTTAATGAATGAATGATTTTTTTTTTTTTTTAAAGAGAGGTGAACCGAAGCCAAACTGAACTGCTTTTCTCAGTAGATTCTTAAGAAGGGGTAAAGAGTCAGAGTGTGGTGTGTTAACCACATCCTGGGACTGTACCTTAAAGCAGTGTTTCTTGTTTTGCTAGAACCATTTTTCTTTTCCATCAAATGTAGCTAAGGGAAAGAACTGCTGAGGAACTCACAGGTTTAGTTCAGTGCTCACCAAAGGCCAGAACATTCTAGCAACGTTTATTAGAATTGGAACCTTAAAATACTTACTCTATAGTTAAGAACTGAATTCTAGTTCCCCTTTTTGGGACCTAGAAAAACTTCTGGTTTTGTTCCTGGTTCTGAATATTAGGTATTGCACAAAAAATAATGATAATTATGTTGAGAGAGAGAGAGAGGGAACATGCATGCGTACAGCACAGGCACACACATCTTAAGAGTATGGTGGGGGCTGGAGAGACGGCTCAGTGACTAAGAGCACTGGCTGCTCTTGCAGAGGACACGGGTTCGAGTCCCAGCACCTACATGGTGGCTACGAGCCGTCCTTAACTCCAGTTCCAGGGGAATTTGAGGCTCTCTTCTGACCTCCGTGGCACTGCATGACATGGGTGCACTCACATAGATGCAGGCAATACACTCATACACATAAAAATAATAATAAATGAAATACATTTTTTAAAGTATGGTGATAACAACCTATTATTTCTGAGAAATAAATTTTCAAAAATAGTCAGGCAAGCAAAGACTCTAGGATAGAAGTCGGTGTGCGCCAAAACCACAGAAACAGAAGTGC